ACGCATAATTTGCCCAAGCCACACCAGCACTCCCCCACCGCAATTCAATACCCCCCCCAAGATTTAACTCATGCCGACGTCCATGGTAGTTTGGCTATTGAAGTACATGCCACAGTGATGCGCGAGAAACTTGAAAGCTACTACAAATACACGACCGAAAGACAGCTGCGCATGACATTTCAAGCAGTAAAAGCAGTTCATAAGCATGCATAGAATAGTTGCACTATCAATTGAAAAATAGCCACAGATTGACTGCACTATACGTTAGTGTATCATTATCTGGTGTCACTTAGCAAAAATCAATTTCATTTCTTAAATGAAATAATATTTTCTCTGTATTCTACAGAGAAGTCGTTTTACATCAAGAAGTATTTCTCTGCTGCAATAAGTTATTAAATTTCTTGGTTCATGGGCCATTTCGGCAAATAATGATCGTAAAATGTTGTATGAACATTACTGGAATGTTTACCTGTTATGTTAATTCTTCGTGCAATTTTAATATTTTTTTATTGTTTGAAATATAACAATCTGTGTTCAATGTTTTGTTTGAATGTTGCACTAACGTTCCACATTCAACGTTATTTTAACAGTGTACTTCTAATATATAATTTATGTTTTACATGCAACAAAGAACGTTATATGTTTCATGTAAAACGTTGATACAATGTTGTTTGAAAACATAAAACGTTTCTACAACATTCACAACAAAGATACAACGTTACGATAATGTTTTGTGCTACCTGGGCATTTGCCTAGTCTTCGTACTTGTGGGTGGCAAGTCATACTTCAGGCTTCGTTTATTGCTGTGTTTCGGTTTTGTTTCGAAAGAAAGATTCAACCCTTTTGAACTTCGTGACCCGATTTGGAAAGGTAAGTTTAAAAGAATAAGATGGTGAAGCGCAACCACTGAACATTTGCTAATACTTGTTTCCTGATAAAACAGCTTCAAGCCACACGAACATGCACGGAGCCAGAAGCAGGCCAGAAGTACGAAGTTTAGACAAATGTGTGTACTCCCCATCATTCCCATGCTCGCTGAATCACCGTGCATTGCAGCTCCCATAGAGTTTCCCAATATACACTAGAGGGAACTCTGGCGCTAGTCTCTATGAGAGCTGCAATGTACGGCGCGTCAGCGAGCATGGGAATGATGGGTAGTACACACATTTGTCTAAACTTCGTACTTCTGGCCTGCTTCTGGCTCCGTGCGTGTTCGTGTGGCTTGAAGCTGTTTTATCAGGAAACAAATGTTAGCAAATGTTCAGTGGTTGCACTTCACCATCTTATTCTTTTGAACTTACCTTTCCGAATTGGGTCACGAAGTTTAAAAGGGTTGAATATTTCTTTCAAAACAAAATCGAAACACAGCAATAAACGAAGCTGCAAGTACGAAGACTAGGCAAATGTGTGTACTACCCATCATTCCCATGATCGCTGAACGATCGCAGCGCGAGAGTGCCCTCGAGTTAATTTTGAGAAACTCTATGGCTCTGGCTGCCCGCGGGTAGCCAGAAGTCGAAAAACGTAGGGCGGGCGGCGCATATTGAAGTTCTAGTAGGTTGTATGGATGGATGGATGGATGTGGCTGTACCCTTTAGATCGGGAGGTGGCTAACGCCACCTAGCCGTAATAATGAGTGAACTAATCCCTACATTTAATTATTTTTCTTTAAATAGTGAGGTTGAGGATTCGTACTTTGCAGTGAAAGGTTTAATTTTCACTCGTGCCTTGACTTTAGCTACCAATAAGATAACCTCCTTCTAGTTAAGTCTACCCGCTTAAAGTATATTTTGCCCTCCCTGTCCCTAAACCCCAAAGCTTTGAAAAACTCTGCGCAATCATCCTGAACTAAAGGGTGAAGCCCTTTACAGAACATTATCAAGTGTTTGGCAGTTTCTTCTTCCTCTCCACACGCACTGCATACTGTGTCTACCCCTTCGTATTTGGCCCGATATGTCTTGGTTCGCAATAATCCTGTCCTGGCCTCAAACAGTAAATAACTACCCAAAGCGTTATCGTAGATTCTTTCCTTGCCAATTTCCTGCTTAAAAGTTCGATAGATCTCCAGTGCGGACTTCTTAATCATGCCAATTCTCCATATGTCAGTCTCCGTTTCCTCCACTTTCTTCTTAACCGATAGTTCTTTTCGGTTTGGCCACCTGTATTTACCAGTCAATTTCCGTTTTCGCTTCCGCCATTTTGTATCGACATTCTTCATGTGCAAGTAGCCGAAAACCTTCCTAGCCCAACGCTCCTCCCCCATTTCTCTCAATCGCTTCTCGAATTTCATCTTGCTGCTAGCTTCCCTGCTCTCAAATGATGTCCATCCCATATCACCTTGTACTCCCTGCTTTGGTGTATTCCCGTGAGCTCCTAAAGCAAGCCTACCTGTTCCACGTTGCTTAATTTCTAATCTTGCTTGAGCTTCTGATCTCATGCACAAGACCGCATTGCCGAACGTCAGCCCTGGATCTATGACCCCTTCTTTCCATATTCCTTTCACAACATCGTACCTATTGTAATTCCACAGTGCCCTATTTTTCATGACTGCTGCATATCTGTTACCTTTATTCGTCACGTATATTTCGTGTTCCCTTAGATACTCGGTCCTATTGCTTATCCATACGCCCAGATATTTTATTTATCTGGTATCTCTATCTGGTATCTGGTACCTCCTGTATTCTAAGCTCACTACCTTCATTATCATTAAAAATCATGACTACTGATTTTCCTTTCTGATTCTAAAATCTAACCTATCTCCCTCATTACCGCAGATGTCCATCAATCTCTGCAAATCTTCCTTGTTGTCAGTCATTAGCACTATATCATCTGCGTACATTAATGCTGGTAGTGCCTGATCAATTTGTTTTCCTTGTTTGACTAAAGAGAGGTTGAAGCCAAGTCCACTTCCCTTTAATTCGGCCTCTAATTCTCGTAGGTTCATCATGAATAACAAGGGTGACAGTGGACACCCCTGCCTAAGTCCTCGTTTCACCTCTGTGGGCTTGGATACCTGTTTTTCCCACTTTATACCTACCTTCTTATTTTATAGATTTCCTATAAAGATTAGTGACTCCATCTTCCACACCCAGTGTGTCTAGTATTCCCCACAAGTCCTCTTGAACCACGCTATTGTACGCTCCCTTGATATCCAATAATGCCAGCCACAGGCGCATGCAACAGGTGTTGTGCTAGCCATATTGAGAAACTCTATGGAGCTAGCAACCGCGCCTGCACTTGGATTGGCTGCTTCTGCACAAGACGCTCTGATGTCATATCATAGCAACGGGAGGTGAGCAGCAACATGACCGCGCCGGTGTTTCGTACTCCATGTCACCGGCTTTTTTTTTTTTCCTGCGCTTGCTTGTGGCAGTGTTTCGGTTCACCCGGTGGCACGGACCTTTTGAGGGCGAAAACGCTCAGTTCACCCAATAGCCACTTGAAACCGGCTTGACTTGGCTTGAAGTGTATAAATAGACGGCGTTAGGATCGCTGTGATGAAAAACTTTTTCCAGGCGATTTAGGCGTTCTTTATCCTGTGGTTCAGGTAGAGTTTCTCACTAACTTGTGACACACAGTCTGTAGCGGGTTCATGGTATTCTAGTCGTGATGTTTTTTTCTCCGATGTGGGTGTTGTATTGGACTGTATTCTGTTAAAATGGCGAAAACCGCCCCTGCCCGTGGGAACGTGGTCGCTTTCTGATGTTAGAAAGTGATTCATACGCAAGTCGCTGCCGCTTTTGTTAATTCCTGTGATGTCACCGTGTTCAGGAGCTTCTCATCCGTGCTTATCGAGTAGTTAACGGCATTCGCCCGAAGTGTTTGCCACCAAATCTACAAGCAATGATAACGAGCATAAAATAAAGGCCGTGTGGAATGCGGTTTGTGAATGTTGGTCTGACGCATGTACTACTACGCGGATGAATGGTAGGTGCATGCGTGTTGCGTGAGGAACGATCAAACAGCTGGTTCTTGCGTAAGTGCGCGAGATAGATACGGAATGCTCAAGTTGGAATTAGAGAAGGTTCTTTTCCAAGTCGCTTTATTAAGCGGTCGCAGATGATGACAATTTGTTTGCTTAACAGTGTCTGTTTAGATTGTGGTAACCAACAGTGAAGGTAGTTGTGTGTGGGTGGGGCCATTTGTTTTCTTTGTTGCGGTGCCTTCCAAACAAATTCATTGTTTCTTCTCTTCATTGCGTCGGTCTCTTGATGTGGCACTAAATTTTGCTATGTGCTCTTCGTGACACTTCCTCTCGCTGTAGAATGCTGTAGTAAAAGTTGACGCGAAAGTTCAGCTGAAGTGTTTCAAGTTCCTTGCAGCTATCCACAGCAGCATTTCTTTTTCTGTGTGATCAGTTGAACGCACGTTATTTGGCGTGCCTTTGATAACACAAAACGTTTCTCTTTTTTTCGTTTACTGAACGGTCCGGAAAAAATCTGGGACATCTGTCCTGACTGGGACAGTGCGGGCAAAGTCTTGAACAGTCCAGCGAAATTCGGGACGGCTGGTAACACTAGTTTAGGCAAGTGTATAAAAATGAAAAAAATGGAATAAAATAGAAATTTCATTCCTAAAAGCATTGTCGAGCTTAACCCTTTCGACCCTGGCGGTGTCAATTGACACCACACGAGAAATGGTACCGCCACGCCGAGAAATCGAAACAAAAACTCGCAATTTTTTGCCCAATGTGAAGTCTCGGCCCACCTACTGCCATAGACATCAGTATTTTCGTGTTTTCTCGAGCACCGAATCGACAACGAAGAAGAAGCAGCGGCGACATCATGGCGTCACCTTTTCTCTTCTTGATTCAATCTTCAATTATTTGTTTAGTTTAATATTCCTTTTTAGTTAATTATTATTTTCTATTACATCATTAGTTTTTTCATTAAGGATAAACCTTTTAATATATCTCATATAGGATACTTCTAGATTTCATGGCCAATCCCCCATAGTGGGTATGTGCCAGTGCGAAGGGGCAACAACAACAACAACGACATCATGGCGAACGCGGAGCCGGGTAAGTTCCGATTTTCTGCAATTGTAGCTACGTAATTCTTTTGGATTATGTGCCCAGTTTTTTGTATGTTGTGCCTTAGTAGTACGTTAGTTGGAAGACGTTTGAGTTTTTTTTTTTTGTTTGCATGTGCAGCATTTTTGCAGTGGCATGCTTTTGTCATGTACGATTTTGACACCATCAGGGCTCAATGGTTGCAAATGGCGGTGTCCGAGCCGATTGTAATGCGTGTTTTTGACGAGCGATATCTGAACGAATGCTTACGCGGTATGTTAATTAACCTGTTTTTTTATGTTTGCAGGTGCAGGTATACCTGTTACTTCGTTGTATTCGTGTCACCGAACCCGTTCCACACGGCTACAAGCAACAACGGAAGCGCTGTTTGAGCAGCTCGACAACGGCAACCTATCCGACGTAGACGGGGAATTCGATGAATCAGACGACGAGAGAGTGTTGCCTTGTGCTCCTGATGAAGATCCAGTGGAGAGCGACACTGACAGCTCCGATGACGAGAGTGCACTGAACACATCTGGTGGCTGGAGACGAAAATTATTCAAGGCGCCAGACTTTTTTTTGACAACTACTTTACGTCCCTGCCACTGCTCCGTGTAATGCTGGGTAAAAAAATATTTGCTGCCGGCACTATAAGATCGGACAGGTGTGAAAAGTGCCCCTTGAAGACTGAAAAAGAACTGAAAAAAAGCGGCCGCGGTTCTTGAGACTGCGTGGTCAGCGCTGATAGAAATATAGCGATAACAAGGTGGATGGATAGCAGGACTGTGACCCTTGCGTCCAACTTTATTGCTATTGAGGACGAAGATAGCGTTCGTCATTAGAACAAAGCGGAAAAGTGTTACGTGGACGTGAAGGGACCAGCAGTCATCAATGCATACAACCACAGCATGGGTGGTGTCGATAAACTAGACTTCCAGATTTCCCTTTATCGGACTACCATTCGCTCCCGAAAGTGGACGTTGAGAATGACGTTTCATATTATGAACCTCGCGGTGGTGAACGCTCGGCTTGAGTACAGACGTGATGCAGACAAACAGAACCGCCCTAAGCAGCTTGACCTGCTCGACTTCACTCAGAGTCATTGAGGGCCTGTCAGCAGCTGGGTCGAAGCCAGTGGCACCTAAGAGGGGAAGGCCTTCACTGTCACCATTGCAGGTTTCAAAACACCCGAGGATGGCAGAAAACAGACCTATCGAGGATGTAAGGTTTGATCAGCTGGTACATTTCCCACTTCACGACGAAACGAGGGAAAGATGCAAGATGGAAGGCTGCACAGGAAGAACCCGCCTATAGTGTGAGAAATGCAAGGTTTACCTGTGCATAACAAAGTCGAGAAATTGTTTCAGGGCTTTCCGTATGCGTGTATAACATCTCTTTTTCATCTATTTGATCACTTCGGCGATTTTGAATTGCCCAATGTCTTTTTCAATAAAGCTGCCACATATTTCACTTTGCAACCATTGAGCCCTGATGTACGTTTTTGACACCGTACTTCTATCTCCGTAAGCAGCGACGCCATGAAGTTGAAATTTTATTGAGGTGTTATTTATATTCTGACCATGAAAAAAAATGCATTGAAAAAAATCTGCAACTAAAACAAAAAAGTCAGGGCTGAAAGGGTTAAATTGCTAACCCCTAAAGGTATTTTTAAAATGTTAACATTGCGGCAATACAGCAGTGTCAAGGGGTGAAGTGCTTGCAGTATATTGCAGCAAAGCATACATAACGCGCGCGCGCTTGTGTGTGTGTGTGTGTGTGTGTGTGTGTGTGTGTGTGTGTGTGTGTGTGTGTGTGTGTGTGTGTGTGTGTGTGTGTGTGTGTGTGTGTAAAATGGAAGCGTAGCACTGCTTTTAGGCCTAATGTGATGCGCCGTGCTTTGTCTCATTACTGCTCATGCGGCAGACGGCATCAGCACCAACTTCAGCCTTTGTAAAGAGTCCATATGTTCACCCCATATTTTTTAATTGTGGCAAGTTATTCACACTGCAGTAAACTTCTACTATATCGCATGAATAATTTAAGATTGTTGCATGACCCCCAATAAAGAAGTAAAAAATACCTGTGACAGACTCCTTGGTCCTCCAGATTTTGTACCATCAGATATGTGCTCTAAAATGAAAATGTTCATTATTATTGAAATATATACTCAGGCTATGTATTGGAGATGATTATGCATATTTCGCCAATTTCCTTTTAAAAGCTCATGGTTCACTCTATCGGGTTTTCTTGAGTTATAGAGAAAAATAGCTCCCCGAGAATGGTCTAAAATTAAACGCACAGTTTGTCAAGGGGCAAGTTGAGCTTAGCAAGAAAATGGTTTATGAAAACCATTCTGTCCCAGAACCAAGAGCAAGGTGGTTTCAGGAAACATGTTGACCTGAGATGATGGCACGTGTTCAAGCATCTTACAAAGGCTGCTTGTTGTTATAATGTGGCTGTAATTGGACAAATGCCTGTCATCTGGTGTGGAGATAAATATCATCTCTGATCCTCAAGCTTTTAAAGAATGGGTTTCAAGAGGATGCTAAAAATTTTTTTGAAGGGGTGAGCATTAGAGAGCATTTTTTTATTAAAGTCTCAAATTTTATTAGATTAGCACTGAGGCTTGCAGGTATGTTAAATGAGCATGGTCACATTAGTAACACCTCAGAGGTCAATAATTTTTGGGTTGACAGTAAAGTATGCATGAAACAGGATTATGTGAATTGCAGAAGTAGAAGTAATAAAGTTGTCAAGAAGACTTTGTTAACAGTACAATTACAGGCTTCATGCAGAATTTGCTTTCTAGCAGAGTGAATTTACTTTTGCTGATGCTCCCGATGGCATCATTGCACTTCATAAGCACTGGTTTTATGCACTGCTGTGACGATCTTGTTTTTTCAAGGTTCATGTACTGATTAAAAAGTATAGGATCAAGAAACTTACATGCTTTCTTAAGGCTTAATCAGGCTCACCATAGCTTGTATGGCCAATGTTTAGCCGACTCCCACTAACATGAACTAGGTATAAATGTTATTTCTCTATTGCAAGATGAGACACCATATACATTTTGAGAGTCTCCTCACCACAAGCCCTTACATTAGCCTAAATTTTTTTTCTACGGTGCCCTTTTTTTGTCCTAAACAGTTGTTTCAAGCAACAAGTGACAGTCTAGCAACAAGTGACAGTCTAGCTGGTGACCACAGAGATGGCTCCAGCCATCTCAATGTATACTCCACTCAAAATGAAAGACTCTGCAAAATCATAGTCCGGTGTGCGTGCATAAGACCTAGAACATGTAAGCAGTGACCACTTCTCTTGTGTTCTCTGCACAGGCGCACGCTTGTCGCATACCTGTTCAAGATTGTCACAGTGAAATTAGTTCTGGCAATGCTGTCTCAGAGGTAAAACTGTGTACACCCCCAGGAACACAATGGTGGAGCGAGCAGAGGTTCATATCAAATGTAGTAGTAAACTAACAACACCATGGTGACATAAGCACACTTGCGTTAATTTATTACGTTAATTTATTAATGCAGACATCGTACCGCTAAGCCTAATTGTGATCTTTTTTTGTTATTCTCTTCATAGTTTTCCCGTTGGTCACAGCACAGGAAGAACAATTTCTTTGTGGGAGCACCATATTTGAAGCTTGCATGACTCCAATGAAGCACTGTGCAAACAGATATATTGAAAATGTCATTACTTCGTGTCCTATAAATGGTGAACTGGTTGTCACATTCAACTTGTGATCCTGCAGGAGCTCCAGCATATACTCTAAGGTCATTTTGCATCAACAATGCCTCATACAATAGTTTAACAGTAGTTGTTAATGGGCAAGATGGTGCATCGCTTCAAGGAGGTAAGTAAGCTAAGGGGGAAAATTGTAGATGCCTAAGACCACAGGAAGAATGGAAAAGCACAGGGAACGAGCGTCACTCGCAGCTGAACTACAGAAAATATTTACGCCGCACCACACATTTGCATCGTCTATAATTTCCTTTAATAATGTTATACCAACCAGCCCAGCAACAAGTAATAAAGTGCAGAATGACACTTGCATAAGACAAGAAACACAGGACGTGAGTTAACTGTCATTTATCTTTGTTTGTGGCTTTGGTAGAAAATATATAAGAAAACAGACACATGTGCACAGTGACAGTGTGCAATGTCACAGTCATCAAAAACATCACATAACATTGCCTTCTCGAGAAACTTTCCTGGTTTTCAAAGTTTGAACAAATGTGTCACTAATAAATACGCTACTTCTTTACCAGCTTGAACTGCTTCCAACAGTTCACATCTATCAGGACTGCTGCCGGTAATCTTTGTCTGGTATTTATTATGAACTGACATGCCCTAATACTTGCGCAACAATCAGCCAGAATTGTCTTTCTACCCTTAACAGCCTGTAAGTCCGCGTGTAATAACACCTGCTCCACCCTTTCAGTGGTCATAGTCCATACGGGTCATTATATAATTCAGGTAGCTGGGCAACTATACTTTCATTCATTCACTTCATATTTCTTGCCCCGCCGCGGTGGTCTAGTGGCTAAGGTACTCGGCTGCTGACCCGCAGGTCGCGGGCTCAAATCCCGGCTGCGGCGGCTGCATTTCCGATGGAGGCGGAAATGTCGAGGCCCGTGTGCTCAGATTTGGGTGCACGTTAAAGAACCCCAGGTGGTCAAAATTTCCGGAGCCCTCCACTACGGCGTCTCTCATAATCATATGGTGGTTTTGGGACGTTAAACCACACATATCAATCAATCAATCATCACTTCATATTTCTTGAAAATAGTGATACGTGAACCCTACAACTGCTTTGCAAAAAACAAATGAATTACAAGTATAACACTTGCTCTTAGAGCGAAGCTGGCTGCTTCGCTCTATGAGCAAGTGTTATACTTGTACACTTCTGTAGACTTTTCTTATCACTTCTGTAGATTTTAAAGGCTTGATGTTTTCGCCAGATACTCGATTCCTACTTTTAAAATTGCTAGGAGTCCTTATCATATCTGCAAAGAAAGATACAGCCAGTGTTTGATGTATTTGTTTTTAAATTGCAATGTAAATAATACATCAACTGAGAAATAGCAATGAAACATTTTGTATTAAAATTTATTTCAAATTCATTTTGGTGCACAACATGTGTACCAAACAGTGGCCTACAACCATTGGGTGTATTTGCACCACGCTCTGCCATAACGAAGCACATGCATGAAACCTAAGAGACACGAGCTCATGCATGTAGGTGCAATTTTATGTAGTCGTCCCTTGAAAATTCCTTGGTAATTTTAAATACTTGGCTGGGCAGATGTCTGTTAAATTATTTTCGAATGTCCAGGCTGACTACAAAATGAGCAATGCTAATAATGTTCTTGGCTTGTGCCACAAATTTTTTACCACTCATTCTATAAAAATATTTCCTAATGCTGCTGTTGTACAACCAAACAAGAATATGTACATGCTCTTTAGCATACTGTTATTCACAAACTAAATGCCAGTTCATTAAAACTCAAGATAATTAAACATTCATATTCCATATTTACAATCAAACTGCAGGTAAGTTACCACGACAACCAATCTTGCACTGATGTCATCATGTTTTCATTATGAATTTACTAATTTGCATGCTTGCTTCTTTTTCACAGAGTGTGTATATTATTACACAAGACACCACAACTAACTCATTTATCAACTTCAGTATTTTGACACTTTGAATCAACCATCATATTGCAAAGTTTTGAAACAAGTCACTTTTAAAACCCACAAGTTTTCTTGTGCCCTTACAGTGCACCGAAGGGTCTGAAGTGTCAAACAGGCCAAAAGGCATTGGTAAGGCTTGTTCATAGGCATTGGAAAAATCTGTTTACAAAACGTGTTAAAGGCACATGCGTGCACATGTTTCGGTTTGGTTGTACGTTAACATTAAGAAAGGAAGGAGTGGTGCGACATTTCTGGCACAAGCCAAGCATGTGGTTAGCATTGCTAACTTTATAGTTAGTACTGGAGTTTCAGATTCATTCCACCCTACATTTATTTAGCAATATATCTATAACATGTGGTACAAATAGTCTCTGTTAGTAATTTCACAAATGGCAACACCATTATCAGCAAATCATGAAGGAATTTAGATGATAGCAAGAAAGGGGCATTGGCAGTTAAAATGAGAAATAAGCTGGGCTTAGCTGAGCACAAAGTGAGTTCAATTTCATACGAGGCATGCAAAGTACTAAAATTGTTAGTGCCAAGGTCCAGATGACT